CCAGGGGCCCGATGGACCTTCCGGCGGTCATGGAGCCCACACCCCGGGGTCTGACGGGCCGCTCAACCCCGCCCGATCGGATCCAAGAGGACGTCGGCTGTGCATTCCCAGGCCTCGACGACGAGCAGCTGAGACAGACCCAGCAGCGGGATCCGGACCTGGCGGCGGTGGAGGCGGCCCTGTGGAAGAAAAAGGTCACCCTACCGGGGCCCTGGAGCGGTTTGTATGCCCGGTTGTGTGTAGAGAACGGAGTGGTGAGGGAACAAACCGAAGCTGGGCAGCCGGGGTGCATCTGTGTCCCCGCCCAGGTGCGGCCCCAGCTGCTACGGCTGGTGCAAGACCACCCGCTCGGGGGCCATGATGGGGAACGACGCACTCGGGAGACTGTGCGTCGCCAGTATCTCTGGCCTAAATTGGCGCAAGACGTGGCCGCCTGGGTGCAGGGCTGCCGGGCCTGTCAGCAGTGTGGGCAGAAACCGGCGCGGTACCAGGCACCCCTGAGGCCGTTCTGCGTCAGTCGGACGAACCAGCTGGTGGGGATCGACCTACAGGGACCATTCCCACGATCCCACCAAGGCAACCAGTACATCCTCGTGGTGGTGGAGTATTTCACGCGCTACCCCGTGGCGGTGGCCATCCCAGATAAAACGGCCCTGGTGGTTGCCCAGGCATTCGTGGAACACTACGTTCTTAAACATGGGATCCCCGAACGAGTCATTACTGACCAGGGTAGTGAGTTCGAGGCGGAGCTATTCCAGGCACTGTGCCGCGAGTTCGGAATCCAGAAGGACCGAACCACGGCATACCACCCCCAGGCGAATGATATGGTGGAGCGAATGAATCAGACTCTAGCCGGGAAGCTCAAATGCATGGCGGCCGCAAATCAACAGGACTGAGACGAACACCTCCCCTACGCTGTTTGCCTACACCACCACAGTACACACATCTACGGGACAGACCCCGTTCCTAATGATGTTTGGTTGTGAGTCTCGCCTCCCCGCAGATCTGTTATTCGGCGTTCCCCCACCGCAACGGGAGGAGGGGAGCCACCCCATGGAACACCTGATGGAGACTCTGCGAGGGGCCCGGAGCCGAGCCTACCCACAAGGAGAGGCCGCACACCAGCGGCAAGAGCAGAGCGCCCGACCCCGTATGGAGCCCCCCTTCTACTCGGCGGGCTCGAAAGTATGGCTGCACACTCCTCGCGTCGGGGCCAGGCAGGTCGGAAAATTGACCACCTACTGGAGGGGACCCTGGACCGTGGGACGACAGATCTCCCCCTGGACAGTGCTGATTCAGGGAGGGGAGAAGGGCCGGGAGATGGTCGTCAACGTCCGCCGACAAAAACCATGGAGAGTAGCTCCAGCGGGGGGGGGGACCCCACCGTTCAAGTACCCCGAAATCCCGGGTCCCCACGCCCCCCATACTCGGGGGCCTCGCACGGTATATGGGCCCCACGGGGCCCCGGGTCCCGAGGGGCCCCGACCCGGGACGGGGACGACGGCCCTTAAACCCTACCACCTCTGAGTTTGTTCCCCAGCCCGCAGGTGCCAAGGACCGAGAACCGTTGGAGTGGAGGAGGAGGTCGCCGCCGGAACTCCGGGAGATGGAGCCACCACCCCTGAGGCCGGCCACAAGGACTGGACGAGTCCCGTGGACCCCGCGACGCTACCTCGTGGGAGCAACCCAGGCGAGGTGCTCCAGTCAACCCGGGACGGGGACTGGCACCTCGGGGGGCTATGTGATGCCACAACAGCGAAGCCACTCTGCCGAAACCGGGGCCGTCGCTGTGCTGCTGCGACCGAGAAGCCACCCGGCTCCCGTCACAGCGCTCTCCCCGCCACCCCCCACATAAACACACACACTCACGTCGGGCCTCGTGGGGAGGGGGCACCTGCTCTGAGTTTTTACCCGAGAGACCCCCTCATGGGGGTGCTCCACGGTTTTTCAGGGCCAGGGAATTGGCAGCCACCCCCCCCCCCCCCCCCCCCAGGCCAAATGGCACTGCGGCGCCGTGGCTTAACTTAAAATTAAATGAACACGGCAAACTCACTGAGAACCGCAGTGAGGAAATGCCCAAGACACACACGGACCAGCAGGCAGGTGAGGAGCGGGGCAGCGCGGGTTAAACGTCTCTACCCATGATGCACCGCGGGTTAGCGTCTCTACCCGTGATGCACCAGGGATTAACGTCTCTACCCGTGATGCACCGCGGGTTAACGGCGATGATGCGGCACCGGCTCGCTTATTGAGTCGGTGCACTTAGTTAAACAATGGGGGGGCGGAGCGTCGGAGAGGGGGGGGGGGTGATTGGATTGGATAAGAGGCCAACGGGTCGGCGGCGCGCATGCTTTTGAAGCCGAGCATAAAAAGGGACGATTTTAGAAAGCACGGGGTCGTTTTCGCTGGGGATTAACTGGAGAGAGGGATCGAGGAGCCGTCATCTCACTGTTACTCGCACGTCCGTGAGACGGGTCAGAGAACAGCCAGATTCCGTTTACAGCATCATCTTTCCGCGACCTCAAACACTGCAAGGTCGGACCGTAAGTACAAGGAAGAGAGGTAAGACAAAGGGGCGAAATTCTGAGAAAGAGAATAGAGAGCAGACAGGCCAATTAAGTATCAGACAGTAGAGAGATAGGTTAGACCTGTCCTGCTGGTCCGCACTGACACGCGCAGTTTGGTTTGTTTATTCGTGGGGAATAAATCGTCAGTAGAGTATAAACCGTGCCGTGTTGTCTCTGTGAGTGCGAAGGGGAGTGTGTGGTGTGGTGAGCCTGCGCGCTGTGGTTTCTGTGTTCACACACGGGTGTGTAATTTCACTCACATGTGCGCGCTCGCCGCGGCACGTTGACCCATGAGCCTGCGCAGCTCGCCGTGATTGTAAAGTGGTTAGTGCAGCTAGTTAAATCATGCCCCGAGGAGCAGCAGCGAAGGGGAGAGAGCAGGAGGACGGTGGGTCACGGGAGAACGGGGAGACGGGGGGCAGTCTCCCTAACACTTCTGCTCCTCTCACAGCGCAGTAGACAACGCGACCGCTTTTGTTCCCATTAACACTGCTACGGGCTCGTTGTACACCCACGTTGTTCTTATGCGGTGAAGCGAGTTCATTAACGTTAACATGTGACTCTTTCCCTAAGCTCTTTCTACATATTCTCTCTCTCTCTCCAAGTCGTTATGTGATGACGGAAGCTCATTAACTTTGCACTATAATCCAACATGCTAATAACTTCTTTCCATAAGCTCTTTCTACATATTCTCTTTGATTTGCTAACCTTCTAAACTTATATAACCCCGTGCTTGTAGCAGCTTTCTCGCCATTTTTCGCCTGATGACGAATGCTTGTGTTGCGTCCGAAACGTCGTGATTTATTTTATTTCTACTTACGTGATTTTACCGAAAGAACCAAAGAGTATGGATTCCTGCAATCACGAAAGCTTCAAATCAAGAGTATCAGAGTATGTTATTTTTTTGCATTCTGACCACAAGTATTGTGGTTAATGCAGACATGATTACGTGTAAAAGTATTCTTTGGGTCTTTCGGTAAAGCCACGTTGATAGAAAAAAATATCACGACGTTTCGATCGCAACACAAGCAATTGTCATCAGGTGAAAAAATAGCGGGAGAGCTGCTGAGGCAGGATGTTATATGTGATCGAAACGTCGTGATATTTTGATTAGTTTTTTCTATCTACGTGGCTTAACCGAAGACCCAAAGAATATTAATTCCTGCAGTCACGAAAGCTTTAAGTCAAGATTTACTTGTAAAAGGTTTCAGTTTGGTGTTTTAACATCGTAACACCTGTTTTGTTGCCAGAAAAAAGGGAAACCCTATTCTCATACTATTGTCATTCAAAACGCATAGGTCATTGCATGTTGGTGTCATGGTCACTATTTGGGCAATTCCAAACATATCCAGAAATTACATAATGGAGATTACACATCAATCATCGCCCTCTACTGACAAGACTCATTCCCACATGCAGGCTAGTGCAGGGTCACCTTATACCACACAGGGGCAGCTGCCACTTGGGGATGCTCTTCGAGTGTTTGTGATGAGATAAACAAAACTGAGTTGCTGAGGCAATTAAGCAAACACCATATAAATGCAAATATGAATATGTGGAATGAATGGTTGTGTTGTATATGTGCCTTTTTCCAAAATTTTATATTAATAATTCTATTTTTTTTATAAGTTTGATCTGGATGTAGAGCTGGGGCAAGGAAGTAGCCATAAAATGTAATAAAACCCCGATGCAAAGGGAGGCTAATGAAACGGGGAAATCTCCAGCGGGGCAAAGGCCGCCATAGACACGGACAAACAGCAGGGGACACGACCTCCATGGACGTTTTGGACACTGGGGAATTTTCCAACCAAGACCCTCCAGCCTCGCTGACACCCTGTCTTCACATCGAGACTTGCTGACAGTCTTTACATCACCCCCATTCGGATCTCCACGGACGGCGAGAGCAGCACGGTCGGTCGGACATTACAACTGGCGGTTTTCTTTTTAACGGTAAAAGTTCGAAACTTAGTGATAAGAATAAGTCGACATTATAGACTGGCAGTACACTCACTCAGATTAAGAACCAGGCTGTAGTCTACATTAGTGCCTTTTATTATTACTTTTATTTTACTTTTGTTCACCTTATATATTCTTTTTCTATTTTCTATCTACGTGACTTTACCGAAAGAACCAAAGAATATGAATTCCAGCAGTCACGAAAGTTTAAGTCAAAACTTAGTGAGATCTTCAACCTCAGGATATCAAAATATAACTCGAGAATAAGCACGGATCCCTGGCGACACAGACGGGGAACAAAGGTTAATAAATCCCTCGGAATACCTGTGGTAGCTATGGTTTCTTATAAATCTTGGTTAAACATAATCCAAATAAAAATTATGAAGTATTAGACCTAGGGTCATTCAGAAGAGATCCAAGGCGGAATAGGTCAATCACACACGACCAAGATAAAATGTATTCCATAGGATCAGAGTATCACCAACCGCCTTCGTCTTCCAGCAGCTGACGCAACACATGGTAGCAATAAATTACGTATGAAGGGTGCCTCCCCTTGAGATAGCAAACACCATGAAGAAATTCCAACCACGAGGGAAGAGGGGGGGGGGGAACGCAAACCAAAACAGTGATGGAAAAGCAGCCGGACAAAGGTCAAAAGGACCCCCCCCCCCCCCCCCCGCTTCCAGATTATGGCAGGAAATTGGAAAACCAGTCGCTCTACTTGGGAGGGGGGGGGGGGCAACCAAGCAGCTGCAACCACAGAACTAAATCAAATGGATTCCGTTTTTTTTTCCCACGAGAGACGCGCAGAGGGGGAAGAATTTCAGATATAAGCAAGGACACAAAACACGCAATTGAGTCTTGCTGCGGCAAGCTCCGGGGGTGGGCCCCACAATTGACCATGGATGACGAGGCTTGCAGAGGAGCGATGTGTAAGTTTGGCGCTGACAGATGAAGTATCGCTAGAAGTTTAATTCTACATTGAGTGCCAACTCCCACCAGCAGCTGCAGCAAGAGAGAAAGAAAAGAGTGATGAGCAATAACAAGCAATCAACCTGGAGAAATGGCAGAAAGTGCCAGGCATTGACCAAGCGAGCATCGCACAGGACCAGCAGCAGCAGCAGCGGCTAACAACTACCCACGAGCGTGCGGACTCGGAAGCCGAGCACACTCCTGCAAAGGTCGAGTCTACAAGGATCAACCGTGCCTGGTGCAAGGGAGAGAGCGTGACCAGTGCAACCGAGAGAGAGTGTCAGCACTGGCGACCAGCGGACGAGCTGCGAGCGCTATCAGACACCGCAAAAGGGGATCGTGCCGACTCAACAATCATCCAGCAGTGGAGAAGCCTGGAGCTGCCACAAAGAGAGAGCGCCGTGTGTATGACACGCCCACACACACACACGACACCGCCCAGGAGGGAACTGAACCAAGGTATTCTCGGTACAAGGAAAGCCCCACCTCGGCGGTGGCTTGAGCACGAAGACAATACTCCCACACATACATAACACACATATCGGGACTAATAAGATTGTTCCAAAAGTTCTTTGTTTCGAAAAGGACCATCCTAAGGTGGTGCATTAACTATTAGCTGATAGTGGAAAACATTGTTCGGTCCATTGAGCTGCTTGAATATGGTCGTATAGAAGTATTTGTCATTCGGTTCGTTAATTGCATAGCTTTAGCAATAAATTGACGCTAAACCTTTATAAGCATCGATGATACGAATCTACACTCACAGGAATACTATTGTGTTGGGATTTCTTTCTTTTGATCACGGAATCTTGACTGCGAATCCATTCAAGCCCATTAGCCAATTGATAAGCGTCTATTAGGTAAAAAGACCCACTGCCGAACACTATTGTTCCAGGGCATTTCGATAAATTGCATAATCTTACCAATGAATTCATTGAAAACTACTTTTGCCTTGGGCACATGTTTCTTTCCTCCTGTTCGTATGAATATTGTAACAAATTTTTAAGGACTTTTTCCTATCGCCGTGTATGGTCACTTTTATTCTGAGGAATTAGCCGATTGTTTTGTTATCCAGTTAACAAACGTAACCATTGAGGGTTAATTGCACGGATCGATGAGGAGGACATTTCCAGCAGTACTGGGTTGACAATTCCTAGCATAAGCGTTTGCATATTAGAGTGTTTTGTTTTTAGATATTCAAGTTGCTTAACGCAGAAGAGTCTGTGTCCCTTCCTAAGTTCATGCGTAATATTCATAATTATAAGAACTGTATCCTGTGGTGAGATCTGAATTTTGTGACCTGACAAACACACTAAAACATAATCAGTAAAAGTTCAAGCGAGAATCACTGTATTATATTCTTTAGGTCTTTTGGTAAAGTCACTTTGATAAGTTCAACGAGAAAAACAAAAAACCTATCTACGTGACTTACCGAAAGACCCAAAGAATATGAATTCCTGCAGTCACGAAAGCCAATCAATGTATTATCAAGATTGGTAATACACCCCTAGACAATGAAGCAGCGCCGGATTACCATAATTACATACACTTGCATAACTTCACGCAATTACACCTTCATATTATCACGATTGGAAATACCCCTAGGCAACGAAGCAGAGCCTAATTAGCATAAATACATAATCAGCATAATTTCCAAAAATATACGCATTTTCAGTTTTCATTTAATTTTAATTCTTTCTCAAGACCTAATATATACAGCACTTCCGAGCTTATTGGCTCTTGCTCCTGGTTAATCATCTAGCCAACTTACAGGTCCACAAATACTGGTCACTCTTACTCTGCAGGTTGAACCCAGGAATTGAGTGTCCGACTTCACGTTCTCTTCATTAAAGGCCTGTGACAAAGGTGAATCTATTGGCGCTTCATTGTCTCATCTACCGGGTCTCCATTTGACTTTGTATTGTCCAAGAAGTCCACCCACACCTCCACTTCCACAAACTGCTGGGAGTTGCCTCGCTCTGCATCACAGTGAGAATTCTCCTCCTGCTTCACGTTGCCTCCATCGATGTGAAGGTCCGATTTTGGAGTTGAATCTTCATCTTCACAGTTTACCATCACTTCTTCACATTTCATCTTTACTTCTTCGCTCTTCATCACTTCTTCACATTTCACCTTCGCCTCTTCACATTTCACCTTGATACCTTTAAAAGTGTCCAAGCTGGGATTTAGTTCTTGTTTCATGAGGGATGGGGTCAATGCAGCACTTTGACTTTCACAAGCCGATTTCAGACTCCACTCTTTGGGGATCTTCTGATGATTGTATGTCCTCTGGTGTGTTTTAAGATTTGATAAACCTGAAAATGCCTTCCCGCACACAGTGCACCTGAAGGGTTTCTCTCCCGTGTGTGTTCTCTGGTGTAATACAAGACTAGATGACTGTGAAAACGCCTTTCCGCACAGACTGCACTTGAAGGGTTTCTCTCCTGTGTGTGTTCTCTGGTGTAATACAAGAGCAGATGACTGTGAAAATGCCTTCCCGCACAAAGTGCACCTGAAGGGTTTCTTTCCCGTGTGTGTTCTCTGGTGTAAAACAAGACCAGATGACTGTGCAAATGCCTTCCCGCACAGACTGCACCTGAAGGGTTTCTCTCCCGTGTGTATTCTCTGGTGTAATACAAGACTAGATGACTGTGAAAACGCTTTTCCGCACAGACTGCACTTGAATGGTTTCTCTCCTGTGTGTGTTCTCTGGTGTAATAAAATACCAGCTGACTGTGAAAACGCCTTCCCGCACAAAGTGCACCTGAAGGGTTTCTCTCCGCTGTGTGTTCTCTGGTGTAAAACAAGACCAGATGACTGTGAAAATGACTTCCCACACACACTGCACTTGAAGGGTTTCTCTCCCGTGTGTGTTCTCTGGTGGTTATGAAGACCTGATGACCATGCAAATGCCTTGTCACACACAGTGCACTTGAAGGGTTTCTCTCCTGTGCGAGTTCTCTGGTGCTGTGTCAAATGTCCAGTTTGATCCGTGCTGTATGCACACTGGTTGTATTGTTGCCTTTTTGTACCGAGCTGCGCTGAGTGCCTTTGCTCCATCAGACCAATTCTGCAGAGGAATCATCAGCTGCAGACAGAAAAAAGAGAATATCCACACCATCTACGTCAGTATCGAGGCACAGAGGAATGCATATATACACAGTGACACATGACTTACACGTCTATACTTAAGCATATGTCCATGATATAGTGAAAAAAATTGCCAAATTCATCACACGGGCTGTTATGACAAACAATGAGAGGGCAAATGGTCATAAATATGCCTGGAAGCCCAAGTACCTTCAAAATGAATGTTAACTCAAAACTCCAAGCACACAATTTCGGTTGTCTGGCTAGAAAATGAATATTTATGAAAGCTAAATTCAGCTAACAAAGCCAAGGGTGTTGAAACTAATACTATTTTTATCATGCAGAAATGCATAAATTAATGTTCAATCGCAACTTAGAGGTGTGAAGCCAGGCTCAGATTTCCTTGAATGCTGGGATGAACAGATCTAGCTGTTATTGTTCAACCTGAAGAAACCTTCGTCTACGTTACACCAAGTCTCCAACACGTGGAACTGGACTAGCTAGTTACGTTGTAATTAGTGCAGTTAGCCTGGTCACCACCATAGGTTGTTATTCTGTTAATGGGCAGTTACCCCGTGTGTTGGTGTTAAATAAATGTGTTGCCTCCAAGTGTACGTCTGCGACTCAGTTGAACTCACTACACATACATTTCACATGAATGCCATGTGTGGATCACTTGTCAGCAGGTCATGGGAATGATCCAGGTGTCAAGGGATGGACTGACTGAGATGATTGACAGATGCACCAGTTGTGCTTCCCACCGTCTTGCTGCATTTTAGGCACCCAGAGTTCCACCCATTCATGTGAGCGTTGCTACTCCGACCTCATTGTTGTTGCAGAGCAAATACCTCCAACTGCCCTGCAGCATATATCACGGGCCTCCTCCACAGAGGCCGATCTTGACACTCCTGGTACCAGTCATCAGCAGGTCTGATCGCCTCCACATCCTCCAATCTCTTCTATAGCCAATGCCATGCCTGTTTAGCCCGTAAGATCTGGACTAACAGAAGATGCTTGAGCATGCTGTTTATGCGGATTTCATGACCCAACCAATGCAGGCTCGCCTGCCAAAGCGACTCACTGATTATATTGTACTGATATTTTAAGGATTTGTAAGGTTCTAATACAATCTTGTTTGGTTCAATAGAGGGGGTTATAGGCAGGCCAGCCTTAATTATCAGCCAGAACAGACGGTCCTTTAAATAAGTAAATATTTTGCATCCACAGAGAAAGGAGTAATATCTGTGGCCAAGACTCACAGCTGTGTTCATTCTTTTATTTCTAAATCCTGTCTTGATAATTGTTTTTTTACCCTTTTATCTGGCAACAAAACTGATACCCTTTTTACAAGGAGTCATGTTTGCATTGACCACAATACCTGCGGTCGGAATGCAAACAAAAAACATAACTCTGATAATGTATGCACTGTCCTTGAAATTGATTGGTCCACACCCGAGACAGCTTTCCTTAGACCCCAGTCTCACATGGTGGTGGACCAGAAGACGCCAAAAGGCGCACAACTCAAAGACAATGCACCATTAGAGTATGAGAGCTCTCATCTTGATTGAGGGTTGTGGCGGCAGCACATTGAGTAGGGCAGTCCAGACCTCCCTTTCTCTGGCGACAGACTCTAGCTCTTCCTGGAGAATTCCCAGGCATTCCCAAGCCAGCCGAGCGACATATTCCCACCAGCATGTCCTGGGCCGGGCCCCGGGGACTTCCCACCGTAGAACGTGCTCGGTAGAGTTCCAGGGGCAGTCTATTGGGGGGCCTCCTTACAGATATTCTATATTGATATCACTCATGGAACGATGCCTGGTGGCTAGGTGACCCACGTAACCCATTTAGACCCAGCCTGTAATGGCTACGTGGCACCGTCCTGTGTGCCCACCATCCACAGGATGAAGGATGAGAGGCGGGTGCGATGCCAGTATGGCAGGGAGAGGGATGGTCTCAGACAGATGAGACCTTGGCGATGGACACTCACAGCTTTGCATGGAGCAAAAGTGCAGGCAGCTTCCACGCAGCGTTACACAGTCTAATGAAATAATGAATGCTGCTAGACAAATTTGAAGTGAGACTCTGGCTGCCAAACCAGAGCTGGTCGTGAACACATTAACCAGGCATGGACGCTCCTCCACCACTTGTAGAACTTCCTGATTACTCATGGAGAGTTGAGCAGGTACAGTGTTGTGACATGAAATTCCCAGGCAGGTTATTTACTTACGTGTGACGTTACAGATGTGACATCACAGCTCACTTGCCGTGCAAAATATATCCATTATTGTGCCCCCCCCCCCACCCAAAAATATATTTTTTATACTTTTTGCATTGTGTACAGTCTGGAAACTACCCACATGCCAAAAGTTGGTTGCATTTTGGGAAGTATGCTAAACATTTCGAACACACATATTCACAAATTTCCCTTTTATACTTCCGATTAAGTTTGTGCGTGAGTGGGGAGCAGTAGTGCAACATTTAGCGTGCTGCGCTATGAACCCAGCAAGACGATTTATATTCCCAGAGCCAAGCCACATTTGGCTGTCGCCTGATGAAGCTGGTTGTAATTAGTCAAAACGTCATACTCAGATTGTAAATGTTGTGGCTTGGCTCTCCAACACACCGATGTGCTGTACTAGTGACGCATGGCCACATTCTGTTCACGTGACAACCTCTTACTAATTGGCTGTGTCGGGTGGTGGTGGTGGATTTAACGGCACATTTATTTATTAACGCGATCTAACACAAACAAACCTCTATTATGGCTGTATATTTGGAGTTTGCGCGTCTCTCTCTCCGTGGACGCGTGGATTTTCCTCCGGATCCTGCGGTTTTCCCCTGCACATTTAGAGTCAACATCACCACGCGTTTGGAGTATTTGACCGACAAACATTTCCACAAGTTGATAAGCCCACTGTGTTGTGGGCAGGTCGCTTCTGAAAACAAGAGCGGTGTAGCTCAAGTGGGCTATGCCTGGTAAAATAAATAAAAACGTAGAAATATTTAAAATAAAACAAAGTTTCAAAGTAGTGAGCAGATAATTAATGCAATCAGGCGAGGGCAGGAGGCAAGGCCCTGCGCTGTAATGTTCCAACCTGGACATCGATTCCATACTCGCTGCTACTCAATTGATATCCCTACGAGAGGGAGGAGCGAGCCTCTACCTGGGTTCACCACCACAACAACAACAACCACCACAACAACAACCACCACCACAACAACCACAATGTAAACGTCTCACCTCGAATCTCAGTGAGCGCGAGCGCGCAGCACCAGCTATCTGGTATCTCGTGACGTCATGCGGCAGCAGGTGGTGACATGACGTCACTTGCCGGGTTCAAACACAATCCCCTCCCCCAACGAGCTTCGGCGTAGCTGAATAAATTATGTTAATGAGCCGCCAATGAATGGTCGTAGCTTCTCAAATGTAACCTTCACTTCTACGCTCTTCACTTTCACTTCTTCACATTTCACATTGGCTTCTTCATATTTCAACTTGATGCCATTTAAAGTGTCGAAGCTGGGATTTTCTTGTGGTTCTTGTTTCATGATGGATAGGCTCATTGCACAAGCGGATTTCAGGCTCCACTCCTTGGGGATCTTCTGATGCCTGCGTGTTATCTGGTGTCTTTGAAGATGTGATGACTGTGTAAACGCCTTCATGCACATAGTGCACTTGAATTGTTTCTCTCCTGTGTGTGTTCTCTGGTGGGTCTGAAGAACTGATAAATGTGCAAATGCCTTCTCATACACCGTATACTTGAAGGGTTTCGCTCATGTGTGTATTCTCTGGTGTTGTTTAATAGCAGATTAACCTGAAAATGCCTTCCCACACACACGGCACTTGAAGGGGTCCTCTCCCGTGTGTGTTCTCTGATGTTTTTTTTATTTAATGACCATGCAAATGCCATCTCACACACACTGCACTTGAAGGGTTTTTCTCCTGTGTGTGTTCTCTGGTGCTCTATCACTGGTCGCATTGTTGAGTTTTTGCACCGAGTTGCACTGAGTGCCTTTGCTCCATCAGAGGAAGCGTCAGCTGCAGACAGAAAAAAATATCCACACCATCTACATCAGTATCGAGACCCAAAGGAATGCATATATACACAGTCACGCATGCCTTGCACATCTATATTTATTAATATATTAATGATAAAGTGAAAAAGATTCCCCAATTCATACCACGGGCTGTTAAGGCACACAATAAGAGGGCAAATGGTCATACATATGCATGGAAGCTCTGGTATCTTCAAAATAACTCAAAACTCCATGCATAATTTCGGCTGTCTGGCAACGAATTGAATATTTATTTAATGAAAATTCAGGTAATGTGGCAAAGAATGTTGAAAATAATACTATTTGTATTTTGCATAAATGTATTAATTCATGTTCAACATAGCGGTGTGAAGCCAGGCTCAGATTTTATTGAATGCTCGGATGAACAGATCTAACTTCAGCTGCATGTGTTGTGTTAATTTCCTGACTGTTTCCATTCTCATAAAAAGTTACAGGGAAAACAACATCCGTGTTCAATAGAGTTAATATACTTCACAGCAAAACAAACGTTACTGTCACACACTTGCATGGCAAAAAATGGAGGTGTTTCCAGAACCATGCCTGGCCGCCTTCCTCTGCTCAGTATTAATGCTCCCTCACTTCACCATGTTATGAATTGAGGATCAATCAACATAGCAGAGGCCCACAATAAGTTCAGCTATCACATTTTTCAGTTCGTAATGCAGTGAAATAACTGCGCCACCGCTCCCCACATAGATAAACTCTTACATACACATACATTTCATATGAATCAGTCAGATTATATCAACAAAACAGCCACCATTCATCACTAATTATAAGTAACCTTGTCACAGTGCTCATGCCATGATAGTTGTAATTTAAGGCCATGTAAGTGTAGACCACTTGTCAGCAGGTCATAGGAATGACCCAGGTGTCAAGGAATGACTGACAGATGCACCAGCTGTGCTTCCTACTTTCTTGCTGGATTTTAGACACCCAGCGTTCCACCTATTCATGTGAGCATCGCTCTTCTGACCTCATTGTTGTTGCAAAGTAAATACCTCCAACTGCCCTGAAGCATACCTCACGGGCCTCCTCCACAGAGGCCGTTCTTGACACTCCTGGTACCAGTCATCGGCAAGTCTGATCACCTCCACATCCTCCAATCTCTTTTCTAGCAAATGCCATCCCTGTTTAGCCCCTAATATCTGGACTAACATAAGCTGCTTGAGCATGCGGTGTCTGGGAATGCGAAATTCGTGACCAAAGCAATGCAGCATTGCATACCAAAGAGACTGACTGATTGTATTCTATATTGATATCTTAAAGATTTGTATGCTTCTAATACAATATAGTCTGGTTCAATAGAGGGTGGATCACAGGCAGGCCAGCCTTCATTTGTATATGCCAGCACAAACGGTCATTTAAATAAGTTCATATTTTGCATCCACCGCCTCGCGTTATCCTGCCTCCCTCCCCCATGTAAACCACCACTCAAGCTGCGGTGGCTGCGTGCACGCGCACAACCATACCTGCTGCTCACCACGTGCATGCGCAGCCACCCATACTTGCTGCGGTGGCTGCGTGCACGCGCGTGCCTGCTCAGGTTGCTTGCCCTGACTCGCGCTAAAAATAGCCGTATGAATATGCACGCGCATCTGCCCCCTCCCACGAAATCTGCTTCCCTCTGCCTTGGCGGCAAGAGCGTAGGTACACGCGCGAGCGCAAGTCCCGGGCACACGACGATCGAATCGATGGCAATATTCGCGCGTTGCACCGCGTTATCGTCGCTATGCGGACACACTGCGTAAAACGCACGTCGCTACGCGGGCACACTGCGTAAATGCGCTGAGAAAACCAGCAAGCGAGCGCAAGCACCGGGCACAACGACGATCGGATTGATGATAATATTTGCGCGTTAATCCGCCGTGCAAATACGCACGGCGAGCGCAAGCACGCGAGCGCAGTTAATGAATTACTACCCGTTCTGCCTCACGCACACACACAGAAATCACATGGCGTCGTTGCTCTGTGCTAAAGTTTATTACTGTCTCGCCCGAAGAAAAACCCTGCGTGACTCGGAGCAAAATACCCAGCGAGCAGCTTCCCCACCTACAGTGAGGGAAAAATGTATTTGATCCCCTGCTGATTTTGTACGTTTGCCCACTGACAAATACATGATCAGTCTATAATTTTAATGGTTGGTTTATTTGAGCAGTGAGAGACAGAATAACAACAAAATAATCCAGAAAAACGCATGTCAAAAATGTTATAAATTGATTTGCATTTTAATGAGGGAAATAAGTATTTGACCCCTCTGCAAAACATGACTTAGTACTTGGTGGCAAAACCCTTGTTGGCAATCACAGAGGTCAGACGTTTCTTGTAATTGGCCACCAGGTTTGCACACATCTCAGGAGGGATTTTGTCCCACTCCTCTTTGCAGATCTTCTCCACGTCATTAAGGTTTCGAGGCTGACGTTTGGCAACTCGAACCTTCAGCTCCCTCCACAGATTTTCTATGGGATTAAGGTCTGGAGACTGGCTAGGCCACTCAGGGACCTTAATGTGTTTCTTCTTGAGCCACTCCTTTGTTGCCTTGGCCGTGTGTTTTGGGTCATTGTCATGCTGGAATACCCATCCACGACCCCGAGGGAAGGAGGAAGGAGGTTCTCACCCAAGATTTGACGGTACATGGCCCCGTCCATCGTCCCTTTGATGCGGTCAAGTTGTCCTGTCCCCTAAGCAGAAAAACACCCCAAAGCATAATGTTTCCACCTCCATGTTTGACGGTGGGGATGGTGTTCTTGGGGTCATAGGCAGCATTCCTCCTCCTCCAAACACGGCGAGTTGAGTTGATGCCAAAGAGCTCCATTTTGGTCTCATCTGACCACAACACTTTCACCCAGTTGTCCTCGGAATCATTCAGATGTTCATTGGCAGACTTTAGACGGGCATGTATATGTGCTTTCTTGAGCATGGGGACCTTGCGGGCGCTGCAGGATTTCAGTCCTTCACGGTGTAGTGTGTTACCAATTGTTTTCTTGGTGACTATGGTCCCAGCTGCCTTGAGATCATTGACAAGATCCTCCCGTGTAGTTCTGGGCTGATTCCTCACCGTTCTCATGATCATTGCAACTCCACGAGGTGAGATCTTGCATGGAGCCCCAGGCCGAGGGAGATTTACAGTTATTTTGTGTTTCTTCCATTTGCGAATAATCGCACCAACTGCTGTCACCTTCTTACCAAGCTGCTTGGCAATGGTCTTGTAGCCCATTCCAGCCTTGTGTAGGTCTATAATCTTGTCCCTGACATCCTTGGAGAGCTCTTTGGTCTTGGCCATGGTGGAGAGTTTGGAATCTGATTGATTGCTTCTGTAGACAGGTGTCTTTTATACAGGTAACAAGCTGAGACTAGGAGCACTCCCTTTAAGAGTGTGCTCCTAATCTCAGCTCGTTACCTGTATAAAAGACACCTGGGAGCCAGACATTTTTCTGATTGAGAGGGGGTCAAATACTTATTTCCCTCATTAAAATGCAAATCAATTTATAACATTTTTGACATGCGTTTTTCTGGATTTTTGTTGTTGTTATTCTGTCTCTCACTGTTCAAATAAACCTACCATTAAAATTATAGACTGATCATTTCTTTGTCAGCGGGCAAACATACAAAATCAGCAGGGGATCAAATACTTTTTTCCATCACTGTATCTCTATCCAAACCCTCGGGGAACCCTCGCGCTATTCCTCACCCCTCGGACGTACTCACGGTATCCCACCGACGCGAAGGGAGCCGGAGGGACGAGGATCCGGGAGGTCTCTGCCTGGGTTGAGTTGTAGCTGCACTCGCCAGCATCTCTCGGACGCTCGAGCAGCTGGGAGTCCGACTGGGTAGCTGGCTGACTGGAGGAGAACCGACCAACGTCTCTCCTCTTCCCTCCTTTTATCTCTTCCCAATTCAAAAATCCCTGGCCAAGTTGTGTTGCCCTCCCAGCCAATCAGGCCCGACCTTCCCAGGGCTGGGCAGTGAGCGATACCCTCCTGGCCAATTGGGCACCTACCTGGCGTGTGGCTCTCACTCGCTTCACAACCCGTTGATTACGTGCCAGTTGTTTTCCTCTACTTGCTTCCTAACCCATTGTTTACGTGTTCGTCCTCCTTCCCGTACTCTTGGTTGAGGTTTTTAGCTTTAGCCAGCTCGCGAGGTGTTT